GTACGAGCAATAAAAAATTTGTAAAACACGAAGCAAAGTCATTCTTTCAGAAGCTGTATCCAAAGACGAGAAAATACGTGCCGTGCACCCGGCTCAACGAGAGCTGCGTAACATATGGTCCTTCGAGCACGGATATTCAGTCCGGTCTCGTGCAAAGGCATTCAAAGTTCACAAGGGCGTGAACGGAAGCGAAGATCGAGAATACACGCCTCATTCGCCATTGATGGTGACGAGTCTGTTCAAGGAAAATAATTTGCGTACAAGGCAAAGGCGCATCAAGCATTACACATTGCAAAGCATAAGGACAACGGCTAAGATACATAGCCACCAGGTGAGTCTCCGTTGCCCATCCCATCCATTTACAGTCCATTTCCTTCATATCGAGTTCTTCAAAGATGGCGGAACAAGAATTCGCACAACGTGCCGCAAAGACGAAACGGTCGCAAGCAAAGGCCGCGTGTACGCGCGGGAAGAAGTTCGTGGACGAAATAGGCGACAAACCCGTGTCGGTAATCGAATTGCGACAGAGACAAGCAAAGTTTCGCGAGTGTTGGCAATCATTCGAAGACGCGCAGTCCGACATCGAGATGTTTGAAAACGCGAACGAGCAGGAAATCGTGAATAACGCAGAGCGTCAATCGTTCGAGGAGAAATATTTCGAGGTCGACGCGAGGTTCGAGGAGCTTATAATCGAGCGTACACCAGAAACGGGCGCTGCCGGCCCCAATCCGTTCGACATGTTTCGAGTGCCGGGTAATCGCGATAACCCTCCGCAAGTCCACGCCAATATGAAGTTACCGCGAATCGACCTTCCTACGTTTTCGGGTTCGTACGAGGATTGGTATCCATTTCATGATGTGTTTCATTCGATGATACATACGAACACTACATTACCGACCGTACAAAAGATGCATTATCTGCGATCATCTCTCAAAGACGAAGCGGCAGACGTTATTAGTTCATTAGATATAGCGGCCGAAATTACGAAGAAGCATGGGCGATGTTAAAAGAGCGATATGATGACCAGCGGGCTATAATGCAGAAGCACATTAAAGCGATATTTGGACAGTCAGTGTTGCATAAGGAAAATCATGCTGAACTGAGGCATCTTTTGGATAATGTATTAAAGCATTTGCGAGCGTTAAAGGTATTAAAACGTCCTGTCGACCAATGGGACGATCTTATTATTTACGTAATTACAACTAAATTGCCGCCGGCCACAAACAAAGAATGGGAGACTAGCCTCAAAGATTCAAATATTCCGACTCTCAAACAATTAACGGATTTTTTGGCTCACAGGTGTCGTACACTAGAAGCGGTTGATAGGAATCCTCAAAGCCCCGCATCGTCTAATAGCGTTGGTAAGACAAATACAAAGAAGTCTACTGTAGCAAACGTAGCAACTGGCAATTCAGGATGTGTCCTTTGCAAGGGCGATCATCCTATCTTTCTTTGTGGCAAATTTCTCGGGTTCTCAGTCGACAAGCGTTTTCAAGAAGTCAAAACCCTCAAGCTGTGCTTAAATTGTCTCAAATCCACAGATCATCGAGCGAAGAATTGCAACGCCGGCTCATGTAAGAAGTGTAGTAAGAGGCACAATACTTTATTACACATGGAATCAACCCCGCAAGCGAAGGAAACTGAAACGAAGTCCACGGATGTGGTTGCCTCTGTGCAATCAGCATCATTAACGAGCGTAAATCACGTCACACGGTTGTCAGGGCAGCATGTCTTACTGTCCACAGCAATCATTCACGTTCAGGATAATAAAGGAAGTATTCTACCGTGTCGAGCTATTCTCGATGCTGGCTCGCAAGCGAACTTCGTGACATCAGAACTAGTCGAAAAGCTCGGGCTCAAGCGACATCCTACCTCTGTGCCAATAAGCGGAGTGGGAGAATCGAGCACTGAAACGCATAGCTACGTTAACATAATGGTGCAATCTCGTTTCAACGGCTTCAAGGTAGAACTCAGATGCCTTGTGCTGCGTAAGATTGTACAAGACATTCCAAATACACCAATGAGAAGATTGGACATTCGCGTTCCACCAGGAATCAAGTTAGCGGATCCCAATTTTATGGAGACATCAAAGATAGACATACTCATAGGAGCAGGACTTTTTTGGGATCTCCTCTGTGTAGGTCAGATAAGGACCACACCAGATCAGCCACGCTGGCAGAAAACACAATTCGGCTGGATCGCAGGAGGTGAAATCAGCACAAGAAAGACGCAGTCCGAAGCAACGATCTGCAATCTTATCACCAACGAAGCACTCGATAATGCTATAGCGAAATTTTGGGAAATCGAGCATGGCGCGCGGAAGATCAAGATGTCAGCAGAGGATCGTAAGTGCGTAGAGCATTTTAAGTCAACGGTCAAGAGAAATTTGACGGGCAGATTTATAGTCAAGCTCCCGATCAAGCACGAAGAATTAGCGCGGCTCGGTCAATCAAAGGACATTGCTACACGACAATTTATAAATCTCGAACGCCGTCTAAATCGTAATCCGTCGCTCAAAAAGGATTACACGGACTTCATCCATGAATACGAAGCGTTGGGGCATTTGAGAGAGGTACAAGGTCAAGATATAGAAACCTTCCCGCACTGCTATTTGCCTCACCATTGCGTGATCAAAGAAGAGAGTGATACGACCAAACTAAGGGTTGTATTCAACGCCTCGTGCAAAACGACAACGGGCGTTTCACTTAATGACTGCCTGATGGTCGGGCCCTCACTGCAGCAGGATCTCTTTTCTATTATTTCAAGATTTCGTACGTTTGAATTTGTTTTAGTTGCAGATATAACAAAGATGTACCGCCAGGTGTTGGTCGACGAATCACAGGTATCTTTGCAACGTATCCTGTGGCGCGACACTCCGGATGGTCCGATAAGAGTGCTAGAATTATTAACAGTCACGTATGGCACTGGCGCAGCAGCCTTTCTTGCCATTAAGTCAATCAGAACACTGGCAGAGATTGAAGCAAAGAACTTCCCGATTGGATCGAAAATCGTGTTGCGGGACTTTGACGTCGACGATCTCATTACTGGGGCAAACACGAAGGAAGCAGCACTGCAAGTTCGTGATGAGACTACAAAGCTTCTTGAAAAAGGTGGTTTCGTATTACGCAAATGGGCTTCCAACAGTCCTGATCTGCTTGTTAATCTTCCTGACTCTTCCATGATGAATTCAACACGAACATTGGACAAAGAAGGTATGTGCAAAACATTGGGCATTCAATGGAATCCAAAGGATGATGTATTGCTGTATCGAATACAAATCAAAGCGGACACTAATCAGCGCGTGACAAAGAGAACAATTTTGTCATGTGTCGCACAGATAGTTGATCCCTTAGGTCTTCTTGGACCGGTCATAATACTTGCAAAAATGTTGATTCAACGATTATGGACATTGCAGCTCGGCTGGGATGAATCTTTGCCCGCAGAGTTGCACACGCAATGGAGTAACTACAAATCGCAACTTAGCCAGTTGAATGATATTCGCATTTCCCGCAGAGCAGTCGAAGTTAAATCAAGCACACGCATTGAGCTGCACGGGTTTTGCGACGCGAGTCAAAATGCATATGAAGCATGCATATACTTACGCACTACAAATCAAAGAAGAGTGCATACTACGAAGCTATTATGCGCGAAGTCACGAGTAGCACCCCTGAAAGCCGTGTCTTTGCCTCGATTAGAGCTAAGCGCTGCGCAACTGTTGGCGCAACTAACCGACAAAGTCGTTCCTATTTTGGAATTGAAGATTGACGCAGTATACCTTTGGACAGATTCTCAAATAGTTTTGGATTGGATCAACTCCTCAAGTCGAAGATTCAACACTTTCGTTGCCAATAGAGTGGGTGACATACAAGAGCTCACATCGGTTCAAAGCTGGTCTCACGTAGGTACCGAATGTAACCCTGCAGATATTCTATCGCGTGGAGCCACTCCTTCTGTTCTCAAGGACGCAGATCTATGGTGGAATGGTCCATCGTGGTTGCGCGACGACGAATCCTCATGGCCTAAAGTCGTACGATCTTCAGTCAATGCGGAAGAGCTACCTGAGCAGCGAAAGACAATCGTAGTCACTTCTACTTCACATGAAGAATTCGACATCATCGATAGATTTTTGTCATATGTTCGATTGATCAAAACAATTGCGAGGTGTCTTCGTTTCGTGCATAACGCAAGATCCAAACCGAA